CGTTTCTCTACAATCTTCGAAAAAAATCTTCGTACCGAGCGTTCACACTCGCGGTACACGATTCCGTTTCGCAATCAGAAAACACTATTTATAAATTTACATCCATTACTTTCTCGCCTCTTACACGTGCAGCTTATCACAAAGAGAAATAAATAACCGCTTGTAACAGTAGAATTTCTCTCTCCTTGGTTACGAAAAAAAAAAAAATCACTTTGTTGCGCGCGTATACGTATAGACACGATTGCCGGCGATCGATTAGTATCGTAATCGTCAGAAAGAAGTAAAAGGCAGGTATATAAAATGCCGCGTGCGTTTCGTCACTCGAACGTCTCTCGCTCTCGCCCATATTTCGCTCCGAACTGTCGACCTATAATCCTCTTCGTGCCTCGCCGTCGGATGTGTGCACTTTGCGCGTCGCGCCGGCCGCTCCTGTACGAGTATATCTCGCTGTACTCACGCTAACTCGCGCGCGCATGCCGTCCAACATTGCCGTTATTATTTTTACCTTTGTCCGATCCTCATCGGAGTCTCTTTGACTGAGTACTGTACGCATGAACGCTGTGTCGTGCTTTTGCAAGCTAGATGTTTCTTCTTTGCTCGATATCAAGTTTGCATCAAGTAATTACAAGTGAATTTGGAAATAAGAAGGGGGAATTCGAGATGAAATATGTGTGGTCGACAGTTGGTAAATTGAGTCAGCTTTTGACTGCTTTATTATTTTTCCAGTAGATGATAGCTTTATTGTTTTAAACGAATTCATCGCTTGCAATATGTGACGGGATGTCCAAAATAGTCGAGACCATTGCTGCCGGTGAACATTGATTTTTGAGTAAAAATACATTAATAGAAACTAAATATATAGCACAACAATTCTTATTGTCGAAATTTCAACAAATATGACGATTGTCAACTGAAATGACATGTAATGCTAGTTAACGAATGACACAACGACATATCAACCATTTTCACTTACTTACGCAAAACTGTTACGCCGTATAATACACCCTCAGCCGAAAAAAAGAAGAAAATAAAAGTCATTTTCCCCGATCGTTATGCATTCTCTCAGAATCGACAATGGCACGGCGCGAGCATTTGTAAACAAAGAGGGAGAGAGAACGAGAAGCATCGCAGCGCTTGGCTCCCTTCTACAAATACGCAGGCGCGCGCCGATAGATCATTTCTCCACTTGAGCGTCGCAGCCCAATAATTCGCCAGACGGAGATCCTTTTATCCGTCTGGCGTTGGCACTCGTGGGAAGGCCGCTTTCGCGGTGGAAAACGCGATCGTTATCGCGCTAATTAACGACCGTTCGCGATATTGCGCGGCCCGTTCGGCATTTTCGGATCGACGTCGGAGGAAAAGCCGTCCCCAAAGCGCGCGGAGCCGCTACGATCCAAAACGCTCGTCGCCGCGCGGAGAGCAATCAATCCGCGCAGCGAGCAGGAGGGCGGAGGGGGGGGGGGAAGCTTTCAAGGCACGTTACTCCCGTTTGAGAGCGCACGTCCAAATCCCGTATGATCGCGCGAAAGGTCCTCTCTTTCGCGAGCGACGGATAAATCTCTCCCTCTTTTACTCGCGTCGCGGGCTTCGCCGTGCCGCAGGATTTAACGCGTTCCCATTGCTTGCTCGCGCACTCGCTGCTGTTGCATTTGCACGCGTTAATAGGAGAATTTATTATGCAGGCACTTATTACAAGTGCGACGCCCAAGCTTCAACGGACTTTTTATGTGACGTGTGCTTTTTCTTATCTTGTAGTTGGAAATTACGAGGAGTAGTAAAAACCAGTGAACAAAGACGTTGCGCTGTCGAGCGCCATGCCAAGAACAAGCAGTTCGAAGTAAATCTGCCCATCCAATTGAATTTTCCAACCGAAACAACGAAACGAACGAACGAAACTTGCAGCTCGAATTTCACGCGCGTGATTTATTAATTTAGTATATTTGGTATTTTGCGAGAGCATGAGAAAAAACGTATTTGAAAAGTAACGGACACACGAGAAAAATTCGGTAAAAGTCCGATCGGCCACAAATAAATAAAAAGAAAGAGAGGTTAAGAGGTCGCGCGCGCGTGCACACCTTGCCGGACTACAATCACCTTATAAGCCGACAATAGGCTGCGGTGAAGAAGGGGCCGTTTAGAGGCGTGAAATCAATATTTTGAAACGGTGAATAATGAATGGCGAGGGATGGAGGAGGGCGTGCAGCCGCTGCGGTAGCCCAAAAGTCTTGAGGACAAAGGCACACAGCAGAACAGAACGGAATAGCTTTGGCACACCTACAGATTGAAATCCTAGCTGAACCTGGAGGTCGACAAGCCGCCGTCGCACGATCTTGAGAGCCAGAACAGGCGAAGGGGGATTTTCGAACGGGCGGCAGGGGACGAGAGAGATTGATGCGCTCTGTGGTATTTGGTTTGCGCCAAGGCTCGCTGTCAACTAAAATGTTACGGCATGGTTATTAACGAGCCTCTTTTCTTTCTGGACGGTATTCCTAAGTTCGTGCAACTTTTCCTGGCCATTTCCGAGTGGATTTTTTTCAGCATTTCCAATGGAAAATGTGCGATGCTGATGATGACAAATTTATGTTCGTAATGTGCAGCTAACTCCGATAGATGGGTCGTAACATCTTTCAGCAGAATTTCAATTTGCAAACGAACATGTCACGCGTAAATTGTGCAATGAATCGTTGCTGTAAATGGCTAATGTATGCCGTTATTGGTAACTATTTATATAAGTTTCCAGAATAACAATAATACAATATTATAAATATAATTTCCAGTTCTACCGCTTCAGAAACTTTCCAACAAAAACGAGATCCTGCGTCCCTGTTGAACTGCTACAATAAAGTCAACTCCCACCCACGTCAATAACTTAAACTCGTAAGAACGAACGGGTTAACTATGGATGGGCGTCGACAAAACCGCGCATGAATAAAAGCACCTCTCGCCGAGGGATTAAGGGCGGCCTTGTCCCTCTCTTCGTTCGAGTTTATTTTCTTCTCTCGCTCGCTGCTTTGCGTACAAAAAAACTCAATTAAAGCGGGACATTGTGACTTTGAAATCGGCTGCTAATGTATCCCGTTGGCTTTTCATGGCGCTCTGATTGTCTGGGCCAAAGAAGCTCTTAACGTTTGTAATTACAGTTGGATAAGTTTTCATTGTACTACAGTAGATGGCGTTTTTCCTACGCTACTTTGAATATTTTTAGCAGTAACATGTTGCTTAGCTTTTAAAATCGAAATAAACCAAATTTTACATATTCGTTGATGATTTCATATCTTTGTATGGCATGACAATTGATCTTTTTAATAAAAAATTTAGGAACTCACTTAAATTATAAAAGTGAAGTTTTTATAAAAATATTTAGTATAATTTGAATTTTCGTATGTATATTTAAAATTTCCTCATTACACTGCCTTAAAACAATAATTTCTTTACTTATCGCCAGATGACTTGTTTTTGTCGAAGTAAATGTTTTATTTAACGTCAATAATAGAACTGAGAATCTAAGCACATTTTGAAATGCATTAGAATCTAGCGTACATTCTATTAAGTTGATATTTGGTTAGTCGCAATACGAGAACTTACACAAACGAATCGAAATAGTTGTGCCTTTAATTAAAAAGAAATTTTGAAACGATCGCGTAGAACCTCTCCGAACGAGCGAGTCCACTCGCCATGACATCTTTGCTAGTTTTCGTTCCTCAAAAAAATCTTCACCCCATCACAGACATTCGCCGTGGAAAGAATCGTGCACCCTTCGGCCATTAATGCGCTGGCGTCGGCAAAAAAGGCTTTGGAGTTGGCATAAGAAGTTAATTAAGTCGAAATTAACGAATGAGGAGTTTCGAGTCTTGTTGCGTCGGTTGGTTGGTGTGCGCCAATGAGGAGTTGAGTGAGAGAGAGAGAGAGAGAGAGAGAGAGAGAGAGAGAGAGAGAGAGAAAGAGTAAAGTGGAATGTGACCGCCCTATGTAACTCGAGATATATAAAGCCCGAGTGTGTGTGTGTGTGTGCATCGGCGCGAGGACCCACTTGAAAATAAGCAAGAGCGACGGTTGATGATATTAATTAAGTCGGCTTTCTTTTACTTCCTTGCCTGTAACGTTGAAGATGTGGACGCGCGACTGCGGCGAAAGGTAACGAGGTCCCATGTTTCTTTTCTCCGTGATTTTTTTAAAAGAATTATTTGGCCGCCTCTTTCTCTCACGAGGATAGCACTCAGATGGTTTCTCGAGATTAACTTAATTGTGATTAATACGCGTGATTTGAGGAATGAAAACCTAAATAGATCTAACTTTGGGGATTTTTGGGAGCTCCAAAGTAGAACGATCGATATTATTCGTGAAACGGCGGAATGAACTGACGGAGGAGTACATTCGAAAGGTTAATCCAGATAGCGGTAGAGCCCAAAGCGTACGTTGTACCGAAAGTGTATAACGAGAGTAAGAAAAGAAAGAATAGGGTTCCTCGCGTTCGCTCAGCCGTATAAATAGAAGACGAGAGCCGCGCGACGGTCGATTTTTCACTGACAATACGTCTCCTCGCGAGCGAGCGAGCGACACCAACGCGCTAAGAGCTCGCTCCTCACCGGCGGAAGAAAGCATAAATTTGCGGCTGAAACAACAGCCAGCGATTGGCGCACGGTTGAAAAATAACCTCAGCACGCTATTATTGCTCAAGTTGTTAACAGCTACGAGACCAGATGTTTTTATAAGCCGCGACATCGCTTGTAAAACAATGCCTTGTAATTTTAGAAACGACGGCTTCTTGCGTGCTAAGGGGAATTGGGAATCATCGAGTGGCTGGATGCCTGTAATGGAGATCGCGCGGTGTCGCTTAGCCGAGATTAATGCAAAGGGATATGGTGTAGATTTCCATGAGCTGTACACCGATGTTATTCTGTTCGGGCGGATAATGACGTGTCGAGACGCCGATGTTAAAAATTAAACAATGATCTTCAAAAAGTTCAATTCTCAACGGCCGTTCATTTTCGCAATTACAGCTCCTGGTGAGCGGCGGCCAACCAACAACGGCAACCTCGCCAGCGATGTCGTCGGGCGGTGCATTGAGTCCCGGCGCGCTGTCGCCTTCGTCAACGGCGACCACAGTGACGACGACGGGTGGCGGCGGTGGCGGTGGCAGCGGCAACACGAGTAACACTACTGCTACTGGTGGCACAAGTACGCCTGTAGGTGGAAGTGCCGCGAGTACCGGTGGCACGGGTGTTGTGACGAGTGCAGCGCCAACGGCGTGTTGCGAGAATGGAAGGCCGATGATGACGGATCCCGTGACTGGACAAACTGTATGTTCGTGCCAGTACGACAGTGCCGCGAGGCTGGCCCTCGGTGCTTATCCGCGACTTGGCCCGACTGCCAGTTCGTACTCTTCGTATCCAACGCCAACGCCGTCGGCCAGCGAACAAGGCCCTTATCCAAGTATCGGCATGGATAGCTCGGCGTTCTACTCTCCATTGGTGAGTTCTTTCATTTATTCATTTTTTTTAGCAATTCTCTTGGGTTACTGGCTTATTCAACATTGATGCAGATTCTCTATCCAACTTACGATCATTCTTTTCTCGCGCTCGCCAATTCAAGCACAAAATGCCGAACAGTGATACGAAGCGATGCAGTGAATTTTTCACGCTGTCCGATCAAACTCGTACACTACTACTGCAACAATTTTCAGCGGAAAAAGTTTCTTTTGCTCGCTTGCCATCTCGCACCGCGTAAACAATAGTATTTATCGTACCTTTTCCCGACCTGAAATAGCCTGGTCTAGTACTTACATAACCACATCCAAAGTATCAACTAGCGCGAGCACATTCCACGTCAACGCATACATCAACCCTTCCCCTCCGCCCTTCTAAACTCGAAGAGGAAGAAGAAAAAAACAGAGCCGTTAGTCAAGCCGCCGGTGCCGACGTCTCGCGTGGCCCGATAATTTTTCTTCTGTCTCGGCGTCATTTCTCTCGCACTGGAGACGCATCTGGAAGGCGTGTCTCTCTCGCGCGCGTGCCACGAATTCCTTTTTGTATTTTTAGCGCTAAAGTATGAGGCGTTAAACAACGCGTCGAAAGCCCCGTTAACGTATCCTTAATCCGACTGGAATAAATCTCAATCGCTTGCAGCGTGAGCTTGGGCCGTTGATTGCGCGGCGACGCGCGCGCGAACAATTAGGAGCGCACCGCGTGATCGACCGACGAAGAGCGAAGTTTATTGCCGGCTGGTTTTCAACAACTTCGTCATTTCGCGCGAGCGCTTGCGAAAACGTACTTGCGATTGGGTTGCTGAGTGCTGTATCGTGAGGATTAAATTCTTGTTTTTCGGAGTTTATTACTCTGGCTAAATAGGAATTTCAGTTGTGGGAATCGTTGCGCGGCATAATTACTTTCGTTGTGACCCAAAATTGTCACTCAAGCTAAGTCGTTACGACATTTTCGTCAAGTGCAACTGAGACATAAGATTGGATGGATTGCCGCTCACAGCACACCAGGCTAATTATTTCTCGCCTTTGTGAATGAGTTCGGCACCCGAATTTCGTATTTTGTAGATCTCGTAATGCGAAAAAAAAACTGAAGGGTGAGATAATGGAGAAATCGAGGATTGAGCAAGACGAAAAAGCGATTTTGAATTAATTATTAGATCAGAAAAAGAAATAAAGAACACGTGCCACGCGAGTTAATTATAAAAAAAGTTTATTAGCCATCAAGTAATTTTGGTGCTTGAATGAAAAAGATTTGTAGAAATGTGCGAAACATAAATCGTCGAAGTCAGACGCTGATGTTTCGGACCTTCACGAAACGTGTCGCGCCGTTCAAAACAACGTTTTACATTTCTTGTAAGAAATGTGGAAAAAAGTGACATTGACTCGACAAATCTTTTTTATGTTCGATTGAGAGTATGATTTGCGAATATGTTTTTGCGAAACCGTTGATGAAACAGCCTGGTATTTAAAAATAAAATATATAAATTTTGTAACGCCATCGAATATAACCATAACCATGAAGAAAATATCGTAAAAATAAAGTTCGACAATTTATTATTCAAATTCACGAATTGGTTGTATTCTTATACACATCCGACAAAATACACGCAAAACTGATGTGAAATACTTGTTGGAAAATTGGGTACAATTTGTCAAAGTTAATCGAACGCATTTTTTTATCCCTCGCATGCTTTCTCTTCTTCGCTGTGTCAAACACGCAAGTTCCGTGTATTTAAGCAATATAAAAGAGTTAGTTTACGAGGCGAATTCTTCCACATGAAAATTTGTAATTCAAATTAGCACGAATATCCGGGCGTATAATTAACAAATCGCAAAAACGTTTCATCGCGTCTTTGTTAGCGATATCGCTGCGACGACGTCAAGAAGACTGGGATGGTCACTTGACTTCAAGCCAGTGGGTCGACGAGCTTGAAAATAGATACTCTACGACAGGATAGTTAAATGCTCGACATTTTCTGCACTCGAGTTTTCGTTTCTGATGATCACTTACTTGTACAAGTTTTTATTTATACATTTCTAATAATGAAACATCTGCTTTATCGCACGGAGAAAAGACGTAGTTAAAAAAAGTTCTGTCAATTCGGAAAATTAGTGTGACGAAGAAAGACATGCACGCACGCGTGTATCTAAAATTGAAGCCACATAACTATTCGAAGCACTCGTAGTGTTGCAAGCGCGCGAATAAGTTTAAAGCCGTATCTGCGAGTTGAACAAATGTCGAACGCAATCTGTACGATATTACGACACACGCGCGCCCATCTATTTTTGGGGAAAAGCGGTTTGATTTACTTCAGAGCGACATACACGACTTGGAAGGTTAAATACGGACGGATGGCTCGAGCCATTAGTAAACAATGAAACTCAATTTGAGCAGAGATTTGCTTGACGAGATTTCTCGTTAAGTGCGATTTGTTTTCCGATACTTCATTGTTCCTCGGCATAACGGTTTGTTTTGATTTATTTTGAGCAAGCTTACGTGCTCCTTTGGTATTACGAATAATTGCGGCTTTGTACGAATATGTCTGAATTTATCAAATAAATCAGAAATCCCTCGCCAACACTTTGATCCCGTATACAAAGTCGAAAACCTCGCGAGCCATGTAAAACCACCGATAAAGCCATTTCGGAAGTGTTTTATTAAAGCGTCGCTTGCGGCAATGTTTTACGCGAAACCGTGCGTCGCTTAAATTGCCCATGGGCTTACTACTACAACGAGACGCGATGAGCGATTTTATCCCGCGGAGCGGTCACTATATTGGCTAATTGTGCGTCCCACATAAAAGCACGCGCGCGCCCTCGATATGAAAAATAGCCAATTAAAATCACGTATCCCGCACTGCCGCCGCTGCTGTGTATACGCGCTAATTGCGCTTTGACTCATGCACAAAGTGCTAATTTTTTCTTCTCCGCCCCCTCTCTTTTCCTCTGTAGAGTTGAAGATTTTTCGTATGTAAGTACTTTTCCGTTTGAAATCCACATATTACATTATACATACTCGATATATATTATAAACCATAGCTTCGTAAAGCCGCAGCTAATTAAGTCAGATTATGATCTTGGAAAAAAAGGCGTGCGTTTTTCTTCGTACGATACGTCGGGTAGTTTTCTAGAATGCGAATGCACGAATGTTTTATTCAACGAGAGATCGCACGAAAAAAAAGGAGGAAAGGCAGATTGATTCGATTAACCCCGTTTGAGAGAATCAAAACCTCGTTAATTTTTTCCTTTGCGTCGTGCATCGTTTGCCGCGCGTCGCGTCGAATCAAGTGCCATCGCCGGCTGAGCTCGATAAGAGCCGACGGACGTGCAGCTCGACAGACTGTCGGATTGATCGCGAGCAGCCGAAAACAAACTGGACCGAAACGAGAAAGAGAAGAGCGAGCAATGGCAGGCGCAGCAGTCTGTCGCTTTAGCGCGACAGTCGCAATGGTCGCGCGTAATGCCGGCGTACTTCGAGCGGCGCGACTCGCTAAACGCCCGCGATAAAGCGCGTCGCGGCGCTTTCGCGAGAATCGGTCCCCAATGTCGCCCTCGCGCGCATACCACCGCACGTAGCGCAGATCGTTCGCGCGTCTGCGTCGGGCGAGTTGCCCTCGGGCGCCCCTCGCGAGCTTTCGGAACGAAGTTCGCCCACTGGGCGACGTCTTTGCCGTTCTAGCTAACGGACGGCGAGGCCGTCGATGCGCTTCGAATGGGCGCGCGTCGGCCGAAAAAACGGGGAGATTAATGAAATGCGCAGTCTTACAAATTGGCAAATCGATCAGCACCGCAGCCGGCATTCGATCATGCCGCATCTAAAAGTTATCCCAAGTTGAATGCAGATACATCGATCACTCGGGCACCGTGCGCAATCGGAAGATACGTGCGCACGGACAGCTAATAAACAACCAAGGTACAGCGTCACTGTCGTGTCGAGTAGCAGTCCAGCAGTTTTTGTATTCTCTTTACTTATTGCCTCCCTCGTCTTCGCATACCGTTGAGATAGTTCCGGCAGGCCAAGCATACGGAGGGCATTTTCGGAATCGCGTACAATTTGCAACACGCGACGCGATTATCGGTCTCCCTGCTTCCTTTTTCGTCGCTCGGCGCCCGCGAGTGGTCATTGCGGAGCGCGCATCGACGAGGCACGGAGGACAAAGTACAGCTGCAGCGGTGGCGCATCGATCGACCGGACATTAACGGCGAGACGGCACGCGCGACGCCGACGAGGCGATCCGTCAAGCGAAGGCGCAAGAGATGCACCGTCGGCTAATATTCCGACTACTATGAGAACGCTTAGCTCGCGCTCGATCAGATTGGCAATTGTCTGCGGTTCGGCGCGGCGCGCGTGCGCGCACGTATCTCATGGCGATCATAATAGCTCGGCGCACGGCGGTCGAGAGTCACGCGGCCGCGGCCGGCCGCGCGATCAAGATACATGCTCGTAATCGTTTTCCAATGCCGCGCTTTTTTTACGCAAGCTTCATTTGAATGTTTTTTCGCGTGCGCGCCTTTGCGTCGGCGCCGCGCTCGTGTTCGAAATTTTTCATTTTCTTTTTTCTCTCTCTCAAAACGCGCTCTAAGGATAGGCACATATAGATTAGCTTATTTATAGGCTCGGATTTTCGCGTGCGCGCCGAGTGTGTTTGTTATTTTCGCGCTGTCGAAGCCTTGTATGAGCCTCAAGCTGCCGTGCGCCGAAGAAAAACCAGCTCGTGCTCGAATTGTTTATAACGCTTGTCATGCGCGATAAACAGGCACGTTTCGCGCGATACGCGCGACTTTATTGAGCAATATTTTCCTCCGGTTTCACCAAAGGGAGACGTAGTTGTGACAGTCAAAACGCAATAGAAAGTATGGCCTTGCGCTCGGCAGTCGTAATTCACGACGACCATCAGTCTGCAATTAATAAAAACTTAAAAGAACACTTCGAGGCCGATAAATATTATAGGGGAGAGGCAGATTTCTGAAGCGAAGACGCGTATAATACAGAAGCTGCTTTGGCGTCGGCATTGTAATATAATAAGAATCGGATTAGCATTGAATGAGAAAATGGGCGGTACATCCCCTCCGGTGGTCCCCTCTCGCTCTCTCTCTCTCTCTCTCTCTCTCTCTCTCTCTCTCTCTCTCTCTCTCTCTCTCTCTCTCTGTACATACTCCGTCCACTCTATTTTCCAGACTCGTCGCGACATCTAGCGACGCGTTGGTTATCGGAGAAAAAAGACGCATGCGCCACGTCGGGGGTTGACGTTAATCAAACTGATACTTCCCGCTCTCGAGATTTTAATTAGAGCGCGTGCGCGACTGATAACCACGTATACAAGCGAAGTGGGTGTGCGCGTGCCGACTGTAATCGCCGTTGCTGCGAAGGCAGTGTGGCATTTTAAGCCACGTGATCGAAGCAGTCGTAAAAAATGTTCAAACTTAATTCGATTGAGCAGGCAATGTGCAATTGATTTTGCTTTGACATACCGTAATGATCGTAATTATTTGAAAAATGAACTAATACGCGTGTCACAAGCGCTACTCAAATACCTCTGCCATGCATATTACACGTTTCGAAATAACTCCTTGCATATAAATAGATCGCACCTACAAAATTGCGAGTTTACGATCGATCGCACGCGAGAACTTGCTGCGCATTCGACGAAAGAAGTCCAGCGAGACGGGCGTAGCTCTGCGTCCGCCGAATGAAAAATCGCGGCGAGACTTCAATTAGCGTGATTTCCAGTTTGGAACGCACGCTAATCAGAATCTCCATACAGCGCAATTTCGACGTGCAAGCCGATCCGCATAGAAACGGCCGATATATGAATGAAACCACGCGAGGAAGGAGGCAAGCGAAAGCGAAGAGGAAGAAAAAGAAAACAAGAAAGTCGTCTGTCGTCCGCGCATTCGAAAATATAATCCCCCCCCCCCCCCCCCGAAAAGAAGGTAAAGGGCGCAGGGGCAAGTCTCAATTACGACGAGCGCGTAGAGGCTATTAAGATTTTTCATGTGTATTCCGAAAGAGATCGGCCAGAAAAAGGAAGCGCACGAAGAGACGCCGCGGAGAAGAAGTACAAATTGATTTATGCGGAGTCTGCCGAAGAAGACAATCGCGAAGAGAGGAGGTTTCTCCAAGGGATTTTAATCGTCGTCGTCGTCGTCGTCGTCGTCGTCGTCGTCGTCGTCGTCGGCGGAACGGAGTTATTGCCCGGCGCGCCGGCGCTCACATACATACGTGACTCGCATAATGCGCGCTGCACATACAGCGCACTTGCTCCTTTGATCTCCTTTACTTCTTCTTTACTTGTTTTTTTCCCTCCTTACCCTACCTCCTTCGTGCACATACTTCCATACGCTCTCTCTCTCTCTCTCTATCTCTCTCTCTCGCGTATAACAATAGTTGAGCCATGGACCACCCGCGGCTTTGCCATTAAACGACCATTCCAAACGAGAAACTCTTTATCTTGTTGCAAGCTCTAGGACCCTGCTGCTACATACGTGAGTCGTGGAATGCTCCCGATGAATTTCAATATTCAAATCAAATTGTACCTTAATCGCTGCGTATAAATTCGTCGGCGACGAAAAGTCTATAGTCTGGGTATTTACCCATTCGCCGGTACCTCGAAAATGTAGCCCGAACTCGTAAAAAACTCGAGAGGGTGTAAAAAAGCAAGTCGTCAAGGCAGCGGCAGCAGCAGCAGCGGAATTAAGAAGTAAAGACGCTCGCGTCTCGTAACGTAATACGAAACTTACTGGCGCCAGCAGCAGCGGAGCGGCTTTTACTTAAGCTCCTCGCACAGCACTAATAATATCCTATTGTGCTGCCATTAGCGCATTAAGTGTGCACGGTAGCTACGTATAGTTTTACAACGAAGAAAAATATGATAATCAGATTGCCTCTAGGTCCAATTTTTCTTCTCTTTTGAGTGCAAAAAAGCTGCATCAATGTTATATAGCAAAAAAGAAAAAAATAAAAGAAGGATTGCGATATTCATTGTATATATGGCGTGAATAAAGTGCAGACTATATATATGTGTCCTTCTTGTCTTTTTTTTCAACACTGTTGGCTCCTTTTCGCAGGGAAATCCGTACGGACTGAAGGATGCGACGGGGATGGGAATGACGGCGGACATGGGCGCAGCCTGGGGCACTGCCGCCCTCCAACCGACGGCCACCGGCTACTACCCTTACGACCCGACGCTCGCTGCCTATGGGTACGTATGCTTCTGCTACTCCCTCGCTGCCTCTTTTTTTTATTATTATTCTTTTTCGTCCGGCTGTTCACTCTCCATTGTCGCCAACCTGTGCTACTCTTCTTTCTTCATTTTTCTGCGGAAGAGGAGCTCGCCTGCTCTGACAAATGTATTGTTGTTGGCCGTTACTCTGCGTTTCTTTCTTCCTTCTTTTTTTTTTCTTCTTTTTTTTTTTTTTTAATTTTTCTCTCTACTCGCGCAAGCTCTCGTAAAAACGAACGACCTGGTTAATGGATTTTTACACTTTTATGGGGACTGCACGACATACAGTTGGAGTGATACTTTTGTTTTGGATACATATACATAAAAACTTGTTACTTTCGCTTGTATTCGGTTTGTCGTGGACTTATTTCCAGGTCGGCTTTCACTCTTAATCAAAGTAAATATACATTTATTTTTGAAGGGCAACTTCATTGAGCATTCTAAATACAAGTTATATCGCTCTATTGGCGTATTAAGGGAATCCAATGGTACTCGTAAAACATCAAGGGGAATCTTGAACGTCCAATCAGTTGCATTCCCATCGTCATAGAACTTTCACCGCATCGACGAAATAACACAGATATACACGTAATTTACACGGAGAAAAAACGCGAGGGCACGTAAATTTATTGAGGCCGTTAAGATCCTCGCGCGTGCTCTTAATCCGAGCAGAAATATATATACATAAGCGTGACGAGACGAGAGCTCAGCTGTCAAGTCCGAGGAGTCGTTCCTCTTCCGGAAAGTGGAATTAACGCGTATAAGCTGCACGAGAGCGAGAGAGGGAATGAGTTGTAGAAGCGGGCATTGATTAACGGATTGTTTTATTTTCGTATGCGAGGTATTTCTATATTTACGCATAGTGCTTTTCTCGGAATACACAAGCTCACACCGGGCTATAAGGACCTCTGAATGTAAGATGAAGGCAGTTAATTGAGCAATGAATCTTTGTTACGAGCAATACCCATCGAGCTTATTAGATAGCCAGTTCTAAGTGCTGACTAATTGCGAGTCTTAGAAGTGATCGCGTTGGAATATTAAAAGGATGCCAGAAAGTAAGCGCGCTTAGCTGTCGTTACTCGGCCGCCGCTCGAACTTTCACCTTGCTCGCTTCGCGATCTCTGATTCAAGCGAGAGATCTGCCTCAATGTATTTTCCGATAATTATTGTCAATCGCTCGTTGGAGCCGACTCATGTGCGCACGAGAAAGTTTTCTGATTGGTATATTTAACGTTCTTTGGCTCAAAATAAGACGGACCACCAATGACAACGTCGCGATGTCAGGAATTTCATGGAATGGTGATAATAATAGTCAGTAGTCACAGTCAGCTGTACGGTTGGACAAACGCACATAAATATTCATCTTCATTCGAACCGAAAACCCATCAAACTTTCAAATCCGTCGTCATTAATATTATTCAAGCGAGAATCTCCCTCGCAATGATCTCGGGAATCTCGAGCGCTTTGATCGGTCGCAGGCTTTTGGCGCACCGGTAGTAGCTCATGAAAAATCCAAAATAATCCGTCTAAGCGTCCAACTAAATCCAGCGCAACAAATGTATATCCCCTCTAAAACCCCTTTAACGCTGCCTGCCACTTTCGCCCTTTGCTGCGTTGTATATATAACACGACACTCAGATGCGATTGGCTCGCACAAGCAGGAGACCTTACACGCGGTCGTCGCACAAAATGGCTGGAGAGAGAGAGAGAGAGAGAGAGAGAGAGAGAGAGAGAGAGAGAGAGAGAGAGAGAGAGAGAGAGAGACAAAGGGAGAGAGGGGAGTTATCGGCGTACGCGACGGCGGATGTGCAGTGTCGGATAAAAATAAAAGAAAAAAGAGCTAGTTAGGTTTTTCTCTTCAAGGAATACGTCATAGTGGCATTGAAAGCTTTTGGTAGTGTTGCAATTTTATCTTCGTGCTCAAATCTCTTACGTTTCATTATTTCCATCGATATCCATTAAATCCTTGTATATCAATCGAGTTAGAGGGTCGAGGGTCAAGTGTCGCGATAAACCGAATGGCGCAGGTGACACAGTTCAATTACCTCCAACTGCAACTGAATCATCGTAGATATGAACGAAACAGAAAAGCTACAAAAAAAAGAGAGGCGAAATTAGAGACAAAAGGAGGCTACATCAGCCGTGTGTTGTATCGAGAGAGAGAGAGAGAGAGAGAGAAGGAGAAAGTTCGAAGTGGGCGTATATAATATGCGAAGGTGTGTGTCGGTGTGCGCGCGCCAGTGGCGAATTTTAGTAGTGGCGTAGCGTAGGCAACCGATAGCGAGCGCCAGTAAAGCCGCGCGGTATTAGATATCTCGGGGTCCGCTTTATTGATTGGCCTCCCTCCTCTCACGCCTGCGCGCGCGCGCGCGCGAATTTTCGGCGAGCTAGAGCTACGTTCGCCCCCTGCCCGCGCTCACGATTTATGCCAAGTTTCTGTCCCCCTCTTTTGCGCGAGGGTTTGTTTTTAGCGACGCTGCTTTATTTATTTGATGGCTCGATTGCGTAGCAGCGGCAGCTACCCTCCTGCGACCGAGTGTTATTCGGTTGGCTGCTTTGTATGCATTAAATTTGTCTTTGCATATCGCGCTCGAGTTATTTATGTAAACGCGGGCTTGGGCCTTCGCGAGTGCACTGTGCAATGGGAAATTTGACATTGAATAAGAATACGAAGAGATAATGTGATCGGATTAGCGGCGATAAGTGCGTTTAGAATCGGAATCCGACAAACCGACAATCTCCGACAGGCCGGGGCTGTTAGGCGTGCACGCGGGCGCGTACAGTTGGGGCTACCCGTCGCTCGGCTTCTCGCTCAAGTGCATCAGGGAGAGAGACGCAGCATTGTTTATCGCTGGATATATACTCTCCGGCCGGTGTGAGACAGTCCCCGCTATTAATTTACTAGCTTAATAATGCCGAAGCTTCTCCCCTATCCACGAGGAAAACTCGCACGCGACCCTCGAGGTGGCGACCTCTTTCTCTTTTAGCCTTTGTTCGCGTCACCTTTAAATCAAACGACTTGCTGCGAGCTGCGAGCTGGGATTTGTTGCATTTGTTTCCTTCTCGCTTTCCTTATCTTCAGTTTGCGGACAGGGGATGTAACGATAAAATTTGATTAGTTTTAAACAGTGAAGCGAGAGTCGTTAACCCTCTTTTCTGTCTGTATAGGATTAGAAGAAGCTTACAAGCGTAGAGCGAAAAAAGGAAGCCAACAACCGCGAAGTATACAAAATGAAAAATCAATGCTAACGCTCGTACAACACGTACTTATAACATCGAATTACCAGGGTGAATTCTCAAAGTTGACAAACGCAAAATAGGCAACAATGTTCGCTTTCGCCGTGCTCCAAATAAACTTTTAGATTGTTGCGCAATGAAAACTTGCGAGCAATGAAAAAGTCTTATTACACGCGGGAGAGAGTACCGTGGTCACGTAGCTGGCGTAAATTATTTATGTCCGTTTGATCGAGCCGCAAGAGCTGAGTGCGCCGACACCCTAAAAAGAGCGTTATGAATCTCGGTGCTATTCCTCATCGCGACTGGCCCCCTTCCCAAGGCTCTCAGCTATACCCAATAAAGTCGCTATCATTCATCCAAAAGAAACTCTCCCGGTTCTATTATAATACCCTAGCCCTTCTCGCTTTCCCGACTTACTTTTTTTTCTTCTTTTCATGGCTTTCTACATTTCCATTATGTTTCGTACGTTTTACCCTTTCATTTTGTTGCACAGATGAAGCTCGCGTTATTTTCACTGATACGACGTTGTTTCGCTACAAATCAGATATAATCGGCGAAATATAAGCACCCTACCGAGACTGGAAAAAGTGAATTCATTTTTCTATTTCGCGCCGAGCGGAGAGCACTCTCAGCTTCATTCACACGTGACGTTCGTGCGGCTGCGTCCCTTCTCTCTCTTTCTCTGCACTTTTCCTTCTAAAGAAATATCCTTCACGTGTGCTCGTGCCAACCTCTCTCTCTCCCTTTATATATCCTCATATGAGAACGCACTGAATGCGCGCCGAAAAAAGAGCAAAACTTTTTTTCACTTTTCCTCTCGTTGCTTCTTCTTTTTTTCGTGGCCAAGCGCGACTTTTCTCTTTTCTCTTTATTTAGAAGAAGGGAGGAGGTTGAACAACATTTTGCATTACGCGACTTTTCGAGCTTTTGTTTTCGTCGTCGCTGTTTGTTTTTCTTTTTCCTCAACTCTCTCTCTCTCTCTCTCTCACTCTTTCCCACTGGATAGGAGCTTTTTTTCAAGTCCTCCCATTCTTTCTTTTTCTGACGAGTTTTCACCCCCTTTGCTGGCTGCCTATGTGCGTACGTCGTGTGAAAAAAAGATCACAAAGTTAGTGGCGTTATAACGAGGGAAGAGAAACACAAAAAAATTTTTTTTTTCAAAAAGTTGAAGTAGCAGTGAAACATTTATTTAAACTTGTTTCCACGCGAAATAACATTCTGTTTGCGTTGTAATGCAATTTTCCTTGATTGCACCTTATGAAAACATTATTCGCGTATCTGAGATGTAATAACGATTATCAAATAGAACATCGAAGCATGAGCATTGCAGAAAAAAAGAACAAAGATAATCGCTCGTGATTGATTTTTTTCATCGCTTTCCGCAAAACTAAATGCGATTCACGATTCATCGTCCATCCATAATAGAATCGTCAACTTTAAAATTCCGCATGAAGAAAATCCGTTGTAAGGATAAATAAATACTCCAAGGGCAAAACGAGATATAAAGGGATCGGTATAAAGAAAACGATGTCCGCGCGCGCACAAATTGATTCGCTCGGCGACAAGCGACTCAATATTTCGCATTTTGGCCCGCACACAGATCGCCGCTCATTTCTTTTTCTCGTTCCAACTGGCGGCGGTAATAGAGTCAGAACCGGTCAGGCGTTTTTTCCTGGATATATGTATATATGTATTTGGCGAGTATAAGGGACCTCCGTGCCGACGGCGAGCCGTTTAGTCGTCGTTTACAAAAGGGACGCGCGGGTAATTGGTTTCGTGAGTACGAGAGGATTGTAACAGAAAAATTGCCGTTACTGCCGCTGCTTGGTGATGCTTTGTGCGCAGCTTATTAGGAGGAGAAACGTGGAAAAACTGACGATCGTGTCTTGTGGGGCATCATATAGACCTGTGCCAGATATGTTTGACTCTTTCTTTTTTTCTGTGTCCAACACATCGGATTATTTTGTCAGAGAGAGAGAGAGAATGAAGTGAATCAACGAAAAAATATTTTACATTTCCTCTTTGAGAGGCATAATAAAATTCTTGCGATATTCACATAGATACTTGGGGCTTAAAAACGAATTCGAAACTTTTTTATTTTGCTGCAAACGTTCAATTTTATCTCTCTCCATAGCCCCGTTCTAGCCTCTCTCGCACCGACGAGCGCTTTTATTTTTCAATAAAACCTTCCGAAATGGGAAATACGAGAGACACGCGCACAAAATAAAAGAGAGAGAGAGAGAAAGAGAGAGAGAGAAAGGAAAGCGTTTCACGCGAGCACGCCCACACGAGACACCAAAAAAAGTCATTACACGCTCGTCTAGGATGGCCCCCCCTTTTTTCTTTTCTGTCGATGAGATACTTGTCTCGTTGCAAATGAGAGGCGAAATATTGTCGACCGCCATGCACGGGTCGGAAGCAAGGAAGAACTAATATGCATTTCGCTATGGAGAGGCAGAAATGGTTAATCGGGCGAGCGACCAGTGTAATTTGGCTTGATATGACATTCTCAAGTGTTTGTTCGTACAACGCTGAGTGCAATCGATTTTCGGTCGAATGACGTTGAAAATTATTTGCTCATTTTCATTTTTTCCATCGCTTACTGGAACAAGTTTGCGCGTCAATTACAATCAACTTGCCGCTCCTCTGGCAGTTAGCCGAGCGTCATCTAATTTGACGTCATTGATTTACACACGAAGCCAAAAAAAGATGAGTAAGGTATTCATCGGCAAAGATGAGAGGGAAGGAAAATTGGCGTATTATACTCTGGGCATCTGTAATAGCTACTTGAACGACAGAGCTGTGTATAGATCTAACTGTGTACACATGCAGCACAGAGTAATTACGCGGCTTCTGCCAATATTGGTCAACCTTTCAAGGTTGCCGCCGCCTGGCGTTCATCCTCCATGCGCATATAAAGCCTTTGTAACGATGACGATGCCGTCGCGAGCCAATGTGCAATTCAATTGCAATTTTAATGAAAAACGGAGCAGAGCAGGCGCCCAGCGTTCTTTTCATTCAAGCCCTTCATTCAAGATCTTCTCCCGCCAGCTCTCTTGTGGAATCTCTGTCCCCTCGACTAAAAACTAAATCATCTCGGGCAATTAGCGCAAGGCGTTGCGTAATCGTCAGATTCATTACCCCGCTCTCCTCCCCTCGGCGCGCCGACAAACAGTCGCTCCTCTCGCTTCTCGCCGCGGAGACAATCGTCGTCCAGATCGATTCGACGCCTCCTTCCTTCTTATCCTTCGTGGAGCTACAAAATAGGAGAGGAAAGATCCGTCTCCGCAAAAGCGTGCCGCCTTTTCCTTGTCTGTGAGAAGGGGAATTCAATAGAGGGTGAAAAGCGTAACCGCAGCCTTCCTTTTTTTCTTGCCCTCTTCCGTTACTTTTACAGCATCGCGCAAGGCAGCCATACTTCCCTCCGTCCCTCCCTCGCTCCCTCTCCCTCCTTCGGTTATCGGCAGTTTTCTTCGAAGGTGCTGAGATTACGCGCCGAGAGAAAGAACCACTCGATATCGATCAGTTTATTTTACCGGAAGGGGGGCAACTTTTACGAGTCCATGCTAATGTCGATTGAATTGGCTGTCACGCGAGCTGATTTTCGGCAGATTCTAGCGATATTTCGATTGTTGCGTAAATTATAATGCTCCTGCAAACAAATAGTATTCTCTCATTCGTTTGCATCATATCAACGAACCTAAAGGTAGAATCCAAAGCGCTCGTGAGCGCAAAAGTGTGGGGAGCATTGCCATTTGTTCGGTTTACAGTATTTGCAGTAGCGGCAGTCGTTGCTTTCCCTTCCAATCTCTCGACAGGCCTATTGATTCTCTCGCTTGCGAGACGCAAATACTGTTATCCTTTTCTCTCTCTCTCTCTCTCTCTCTCTCTCTCTCTCTCTGTCTCCGTTCCGTCGTTCAAGACAAAGGCATGTTTGCCGAGTAGCCGCCCGGCTAATTGAGAAAACGAGATGAAACGCTATACGGCGTTTCGAGCCACAGTCGAGTGTACGTGCAAACACCAAAAAGGGGGCAAAACAGCAAGAGGGCCCGAGTTGCTTACAATATCAATATGTACGACAAACTTGTGTCTTTATTAAAACCTATCTCCAATGGATTTGAATTTGCATTTTGCGTTTGGACGATCAAACTCGGACTTGTACTACTGAAGCTCGCGAGAAAATAAGCTGTGCCACATGCTAACACGCACTTTTTTTCGGTCTACAACGCACGCGGGCGAGGGAATCGATTGGATCGCAGCGACTGCTCTGATGGAATCACGCCGCTTCGGGAGCTTTATTCGCTGTATATATTTGCTGCGCGCGAGGCGAGTATCAACCCCTCGACCTCTTTTACCGGCTCGCTCTCTCGCGTGTGTGCATGCGGAAAGAGCTATCCGTCGGCGTGGGGAATAAACAAAAAGTCTCGTAAAGGACCCGCCCGAGCGTGAATGAAATGCTGATACGTTTTGCAGCTATAATATCGCTTTAATTCATTTTTTCTCCCTTTCCTTACGTGCCTCCAAGCATTTTCAAGTATCTTTGGATTTTTATCGGTTGCATTATCTAATGCGCGATCTAGACGTCACGCAATCATTTATTTATCACTGTAGTGATTTCGATATATATTCTATCGATAGACAAGGCGCATCGCACGATCATTAACTTGCACTCAAACATATTTCAGAGCAGGCTACACAAGTAATAGAGAGATCTGAGCGACCCTCGAGATATACATGTCAGAAACCAAAATAACGCCAAAAGAAAAAGAAGAAAAAAAAAGTCGAGGTCGATAGGTGGGGAGGAGTTGTCCCGCATAACCAAGTGAAAAAAAAGCTCGCAGAGATATGCGGAGTATATATACCCGGCGCTGCGCATATACATTCCAAATCTCCTAGGGGGATCCTCGGAAAGAGAGTCGTTCGTTTCTTTTTTTTCTTTTGCTCCGGCCGGTGTGCCATAAGGGCGGAGAAGAAAATATAGGAGGAAAATGGACGCGCGAGCGAAGGAGGGTGCGCCGCGCGCGATAAAAACATCGATTGATCGACGAAGATGAATTGATTTTCACGCGCACGCAGTTCGCTGACCCGACTTGCGTCAATATTTTCGTCCCGCGTGCGGAGATTGACATAATACAAGGGCACTCGGCCCGCGGTACGGGAGCACGCGACGAAGCGAAAATATTGTTTCTGCTCTCACGTCCACTTTGATTCGTCCTCTCGGGGCGCGCGCGTGCGTCCCGCGCGAGACTCGGGCTTTTTCCAAATGCACAAGTCGAACGAGAATCGCAGCTGACTGAAGTTGGCCGAAAACAAGAAGGCTGCAACTGCAACTGACCATGTGCTAAAACTTTGCTTGCAGGTACGGCGCTGGTTATGACCTGGCAGCGAGGCGGAAGAATGCGACGAGAGAGTCGACGGCAACGCTGAAAGCCTGGTTAAACGAGCACAAGAAGAATCCGTATCCCACGAAAGGGGAGAAAATCATGCTTGCGATCATCACGAAAATGACGCTGACGCAAGTATCGACGTGGTTCGCGAACGCGAGACGTAGGTTGAAGAAAGAGAACAAAATGACGTGGGAGCCGAAGAACAAAACGGACGACGACGACGATGCAGTGCTCACCGACTCGGAAGACAAAGACAAGGACGATCACATTCACGGCGATAATAGGCAAGACAGGGTTGGCGATGACGCCAGGCGAGGACTTGACGATAACGGTTAGTATGAGATTCTTCGTTTGATCGGGGCTCGACCGGCAATAATCGCGAAAACGATGCACTTACTATTGGGTTAACGCGGCTTTATTCCGTCGAAAGACGAAAGAAGGACGTGATATTATTGGATAACTTGATAATTTCATAAAAGCAGCTTCGCTGACATCAATCCGTTGTCGCGAAGATAGCGAAACGATTATTAAGGGACTGAAATTTACGTATTGTCAATACACATGTCCATCAGCGACCTAATTAGTTGTTTCATTGCCGAAACACGAATAAAATCACTGGTCAGACATCCGCCCAAACGACTATATATACATATATATATAGATATCGCTAACGAAGTCACGTATATTACGTTTATAAGTGAGAAAGCCATCTGCCACGCGACCAATCGGAACACCACGTCGACGTCCCCTTTCCCTTGGCGCGTATATAATCAAATAATCGACCCGCAGGCGGGCGTAACCATTTCTCTCTCTCCCTCGTCGGCGCCTATATACGTATATTAACCCATTACTCGCAGCATCCAAACAGCGCGTGATTGAGATAATTCAATTGGGAGGGGAGGGGAGGGGGATTAATTATCCGATATGGCTTCAGTTGTGCTTCAAAACCGAGTTGATTATTTGTCTAACTCGATTAACCCCTGCTCTGCTTGGCGCTCGCAGCATTTACGTCGCGGCCGTCGATCTCATCTCGCTTTACGTATTTTCCGAATAGATCGCCGCGGCTGTGAAGTGGCCATTTTCGATCCAGCGCGGCGAGTCCCTCGTCTGGTGCAATTTTCAGTTCCGGCTCATTGAAATGCGAGCTACCGAAATGACCACCATCAATCTCAATTTTTCTACTAGCCCCGGTGACTTTTCGAGAGTCAAGTCACTTCCACCCTCGGTGCCAATAGCCTCTCTCTCTCACTCCCAATGAATATCCGTGTGGCGAGCGAGTCCTCGATATCGCGCGCGCGATAGAGAGAGAGAGAGAGAGAGAGAGAGACAGTGGGGGCGGACACACATAATGGTTCGCATGTGGGTAAACACAGTGACGGCTTGCGGCTTGCCGCGCCAAGAGATTAATGGCCTCGGCACTCTCTTTCTCCTGGATCCCAAAGTTCCCCTGCAGCGCGTACGTCCTACAGGGATTCTACCCTCTCTTCTCGCTCATCTACTCTGATTGATTGAATATTTGAGAGGAATTCAAGTCTGCTTACCTTCGCAAGTAGTTGCTTGGCTATTTTTCGCATTGTATTATCTTCACCGGAACGAGCGGACGTTGAAACGTACATGACAAATCGAAAGTGACAATCCCTCCGCGCGCCCCGTTCACACGTGTACGCGCGTTGAAAAAGGAGAGGCGGGGAGCAGGGTGCGGCCGGCGTCGATTCGCAGTAGCGATTTCGCATCGAGAGCACTGCGTACACATGAGCTCTCTGCGCGGCTTCCTCGCTCTCCTCGCGCGCATACGCTTGGCGAGGAATGGCACGGCGGATCGGTCGGTATAGCCGTTGGTAAGCTCGGCCTTAGCCCGTACTCTTGCATTCTCACGCCTTGCAGTCCTTGGCGTTAGCTCGCGTCGCAGGAATGCCAAGGCGCTTTGGTGTGCAGCTGCAAAGAATTTTAGCGCTCGCAAAACCGACGGATACTCGTAACGTTCGGGGTTAAATTATTCGGTTTGCGTAACGCGCGATCGCCCATGAGCCGTCTAATTCCATTGGCCGTACGGCGCTTGTGCGCAAACGAGGCGCAGGAGCGTATCGTCGAAAGGAAAACGGCTGGTCGGGATGATTCGATTAACGGCCGATAGAGAGATAGAGAGAAAACGAAGGGTCAAAAGTTAAAGAGCCACTTGTGGGCTCGGGCGTAGTCCGCGGGCCGTAGTATCTGTTTAGCCGAACCATAAGCTTTCGCTCTTTATAAGTTAGGGTGCTCTCGCTCACTCTCTCTCTCTCTCTCTCTCTTTCTCTCTTTTCGCGTGGCAGTCTGGCTCCGGACGCCACGGGCTTGCACATTCCGCGGCGTCTTTTCTCTCTCGCTCCTCGCCCTTCGGGGAATTATCGCTTGACGAGCCATCAAGCAAGTAACCCTCGGCTCGTTCGAGCCTCTTAATGAAATTCTCGGCCCCGCTGGCGCGCCAACGTGCAAGCAGGTCCATCCTCGAGTGCCCCAAGAGAGTCACCATAAGAAAAGCTGGCGCGCTCGAGAGAAGCTAAAATCTCTTACAGCCCCAAAGTGCTTGGCGCGGCCGCACCACTTTGCGCTCGGTGCCCACTCCCTTTTTTCGCAGCATCTCGAAGCCCCTCGGATTAGATCCGATATAGGGGTGCCGAGGGACACGTCTGCGCAACTATTTCGTCGGCGCGCCAGCGCGGTTCTCCCCCAAAGTGGCAGGGCTCACCCCAGCGATGACACGCACCCCCGAGTCTCGCTTTCACACCAGCGGGACCACCCAGCCATTAATGCCAATATTCCACTCTCGCGCTCTCCCGGCCGAGAGCTCGCTCGCGCGTCAATTAAGCAGGCCCGGCGTGCGGCCGAGAGAGCTCTCGATGCTCTTTCCCCGCCCGTTAACTAAGTGGACGTTTCGCGAGCCACTGGCTCCCCAGCTGCAGCGCGCGTCCGCGCTCGACCGCTCGTAGCTGACCAGGTCGTCTCGGTTTTTTCACTTCAGAGCCGATGCGCCACGTGAAAGCCGAGCACATGCAGCACGACAAGGACCTCGACGACGAAGACGATCTCGATCTCGAGGACGACGCTCGTCGCGCTGCTGAGCACCCGTACCATCACGCGATGCATCACCATCATCACCATCACCACCCGGGCTACGGGCCCGAGGATCATCATCTCAAGGACGAGGGAATCAAGTCTGACTGCGCCGCCGGAATACCGATACCCGCGACGAAACCGAAAATCTGGTCACTAGCCGACACGGCAACATGTAAATCTCCGTCGCCGCCCAGTCACCCTCACCATCACCAGTACCAAATGCATCACCATCATCATCATCAGCAGCAGCAGCAGCACTACGCCCAGCAACAGGCGCATTTGCCACAGCAGCATCACCAACAGCAGCACCACCATCTGTCCGGCCAAGCGCAGCACCACTCGCAGCAACCGTGGCTCAGTGGTGGCGCCAGCGTCGTAGACCCAGGCAGCACTGGCGGCAGTCTCGCCAACTTTGCGCTACCGTCTTCGGCGTCAATGAGTCCGTCTTCGGCAGCCACAGCACCCTACTCGAGTACGGGTGCTAGGTACGGCGGCTTTCTGTCCTCGTCGTCGGGTGGTCAGCTGCACTATAACCCAAACTCGAGCGGGGGCTCGAGCAGCGCCTCCTCGTCGGCGGCGGCGGGGTTTCCCGAGGTTGGTACGGATACCCCGCCGCAGACACCACCCAATATGAAAGTGGGGACGCCGAACGGCGTGATCCAGGGCCCTCCAGCCGGGTATTGCCCTGGTGGCAACAGCAATAATGCCAATCCCGGCCACTACGCCAGCGCCGCCGGCGTTGTTGCGGCGTCGCCGGCTCACGTGACTGCTAGCGTGGGTTACATGCAGACACAGACTAATGGACCTGTGGTTGTGACGAACAACGCCAATGGCTCGTTTAGCACGAGGCTGCAGAACTCGCCGCACAAGGACTTCTCGCCCGCGTCGGCGCAGAACTCCATCCTACATCAGCACCAGACCACTGCCAGCTTACCACCCACGGAAGCGACCACCGCCTTCAAGCCGTTCTACAAGGGGTAAGTTTTCGCCTCCTCCCTGTTGAAATGTTCATTTGCTGCGGCTCTACGAGGCTAAGACAGATTACAAACGGGTCAACTTACACATCCGAAACTTACCGTCGAGACTCTTAAGTCTGTCTGCTCCTCATCGCGATAACGGGATTGACATGGTCGATATAATTATTGGGGGAAAATCGCGCTGTCGATACTTCGGTTCGAGCTAGATGTTAACGCGCCTTTCCTCTTTCAGATCTCAAAACATGGCTAGTGGATTTGTATCGCCGGTTTAATGCGAGTTGGAGGCACCTGACGAGACACAGCAGCGTTTCCAAGGTCAGTAATCACAACATCTTTCCTCGCAAAGAGTCCTTTCTTTTTGTGCCGTTTCACAACGCGCACGTATACACACGCGCGCACACGCGTACAGAGAATGATCGTAACTTTCGAAACCTCATCGCCTTGTTACGTCTCTCGGAGCTGATAAAAAGACGAGTCATAACAGATGAAGGTAGGTCGTCCCGAGAGTTTGCGCGCGCGAGCGAGCAACGGTACGCATGTACACACCGAGAGTCGCGATTGTTATCGGTCACAGGCAAAGCAGTGTGTAAGCACTCACGGCAAGAGAGAGAAAGACGAACACCTCCGCTCTCTCTCTCTCTCTCTCTCTCTCTCCCTCTCTCGCCTGGAGAGAGAAGACACAATCGATAAAGAATTAATATCCCGGGCAAGGTTGATTGGTCGTTAGCTCTTTCTCGAGAAATAATAGCTGGGCGCGCGGTGGGTTGCCTGTCTGTGTGCTCGAGTTGAGTAGCGTGTGGGCAGCGAGAGAGAGACAGAGAGAGAGAGAGAGGAAGGAGAGGGAAAGGCTATCGCCACCTTCTTGACAGTAACAAATGGATGGAGATTTCAATCAGTGAATGGAGCTCACAGCGCATTCGTGCCAGTAATTTTCTCGTCGCGTCCTCTCTTCTCTTTCTCTCGCACTCTCATTCAGAGACACCTTGTCGCATCCGACTGATCGAACAGCTGCTGCTATGGACCTTCATTCAGACGCGCTGCTACTAAGCCTCTTCGAAATTAATCGACCAATGAAGAGAAAAAAATGTGTCTGTGTGTATATGTATATATCACTTGATGTATGGAATCGCAGTTTTACTGACTCGAGCGTGGTATAACGGCTCGGTAGGCTTTTATTATCCTATAAATTCTGTGTTCCTTCAAAAATCCAAGTGGACAGTATTAAAACGGCTTTAGTTGACAAAAAAAAAAGAGCGAGAGAAAAGGTTTATTTACTGTGGCGCGGCGTGTACGCGCAATATCTAATAGTACAGCATCTATGTTAAAACGGATAGTGTTGGTCATTACACGGCTGCTTGATGTTGCTGTTTTATTGCATCGAGCTTTATAAAATTCAAAGTGCTGTTCACGCAGAAATCTTGTAGCAGCAGCATAACTACGTGTATATTTATAGCCTAAACAGTTTTAAGATCAAAGTGAAATGACGATCGTTGGTAAAATAACTGCGCATACAAATTGAAGGAATCCTCAAGATACGCCCAATTTGAGAGCTTCTTAGTCTTTTCCCCTCTTCGGAATTACATCCCAATTAGTTACTTTCCGCAAGTTGAAAAGGGGATGAGAATCTCGGGGTGAACTCGAGAGAGCTGATGAACGAAGGCGATTAAGGCGCGTCACTAAAGTATATCTAATTCCCCAGAGGCACAATCAAATAATTTGAAGAGTCAAGAAGTACGCGCAGCTTAAGATTCGAACAATCATCGTGGACTCTGAAAGCTATTAGTCATCGCAAGGTTAATATCCAATCAGAGAACTCGAAGTATTGACCGTACAAGAAAGTCTCGCTCAGAACGAAACTGAATGAAACGGAGGTATACATATCCCTTATATCACGAGTGCAAAAAGAGAAACAACAATAAAGAAAGAACGGGTGGACCGGACGACGTCGAAGAAGAGAGAGAGAGAGAGAGAGAGAGAGAGAGAGAGAGAGAGAGAGAAATGAACGGAGAACGTCTTTTAGGTGGCCGGGTGTCGGTGGGACATGGTTATCTTGGTGGCGATCTGATCCTAATTTATTAGCGGTTCCCGAATAAACTAGTTTCCACTGTCGTCACCTTGTATGCTTCGAAGCGTCGTCGCCTGAAAAAGTCAGCGTCTCTCTGTTCCACTCTCTAGCGAATACGACAGCGGTGGGTTCAACCTGGAGGCGGTAATTGCCAATTAGCCCAGTGGATATTTAATTGCTATTAGGGCCCTCCCGAAGGGACCTCCCCACACACGTACACGTACAAAAAAGAACTTTACTCATACCAGCTTAATCAATTTCAGATGCCTTTGTTCTGCTGGCGTTCCTCTTTTTGGCACTTTATATAGCATTTCTTTTTTTATACATGCCTCGGTCTATAAAGTTTACGGTTTAGCAACTTATAAGTGACTCATTAACGAGTCGTTCCTTTCAACTGCATAGCGCGACAGTTGAATTTTTAATAAAGCCGTGAGAGAAGACCGAGATGATGATTTCAAGCGCCACGTATACTTTTTGGCATAATTTTTTATCGTTTCCAAAAATATACGACGCCGACTGTTTGCCTGTCGAAATTGATGATCCCATCTGCATATTATAATCCGCTGGCGTTGAAAAGTATTATTGAATGTTTCATTTGATCGTAGAACTATTTTGCCTAATAGCTCGTAAATGACATCCTCAATAAAAGAAACTTCCGAATATTAAAATTGAGTATACGTTGAGCAAAGTTTTTTTTTCTTTCGATTGAAGAATAAAAAGCAGCGCTAAAATTACCGAATGACGAGACAGGTGTAAAGCTTGTAAAATTTATCTCGACAAACGTACACGACAAGCTTCGCTTCGTTATCGCAATGTGAGATTATTATTATTATTATTATTTCTCCTTCTCGCTTTTTATTTCTGTAGGACTATGTGTTTATGCCCACACTGAGTTTTGTGTGTGCGTTTGCCTCATTAAATCAAACGCGACGGTATATACTTATGGCAGCGTCTTTATTTATGAATATCCGCGACAAAACGTACGCGCACTGGCGCACATACTCGGCGGGGGGTTTTGACGGTATAATTTCTGCGTGGCGACGTGACCCGCGCGCGTGGATCCTGCGCATATAAATAATCGCCTTGCACGCGCGTTCGAGAATCCACTTCGATTTTGCACGTCTATATCGACACACACACCCATTTGCAGGCTACGCTTCGATCTTCATCGTTTGTTGAATTATTGCCTAGAATTAAATTGTTTATATATCGTTGGCTGAGAATTATACCTTTTTCGAAATCACTGCTGCTCGTTTGTAAACGACAACTTTTCTTTTTGTCGTAATGTATAATTCCCAGTACGAGGAAGACCCTTTAAGTATGTCTAACTGTTTTTTTTTCACACGCAGCAATAAAGTTTGTGCAAGGGGATTTTCAATAGACATTTTTGGTGGCTGCTAAATCGAATAAATGGTGCCGCGCTTGGACGACATTGCAGCAGCGCGAATCTCTAATTAAAGGCGACGGTAGTACGCCACTGCGTTTAACGGCGTGCAGCTGAGCCTCTACATCGATTCTGTCTGGAATTGTCACTTCTATTGCACAATTTCGCGCGATAATCAAAAACAGCCAACGAAATTTATTATTTTCGATATTGGTCTTTGTATAAACGTTTCACTCCAGTACTTGGACGCTGGATTTTCCCGAGTCGTAAATAATTTAAGCGTAAATGGACATTATGAACGAGATCATGCGCGCGCGTGAAATCAATAATTCTTTCGTATATGCAGCGCCGGAGACTTGTCCATTATTTATTGGACAACGGGTTCTACACACGTATCTTTTATCGATTAATTCAAGCTGTTTTAATTGATTCGATTATTTCTGAAAAGCATAGCGATACATACTACATCGTGCTCTATAAAAATTACCGCAGTCAACGACTGGAAATAAATGTCAGTCCGATAACGGGGAAAAAAGGTTGCACATGCATATACATTAAGTTAGAAAATAGTCTGGAAAAAACATTCAAGTAGTATGCGACCAATACACTCAATGATGTCGATGCATCGGTTTTTTTTTTCAACGTATCGAGCAGCGAAGGCAGATTCGCTATTTAAACTAAACGAAGCTTCGATATCAAAAATAAAGGAAAGAAGCTTCGATTTGCGTTGAAATTAACGCGTGTACGTATTCTTGACGTAACGCTGTGCGCACTTAACAAATTAGTCACTTGGCACGCGATGTAACGGATCGCCTCATCGAAATGCGCGTGATGCAGATTTTTTCTCTGCACTTATATCTGCGATCGTAGATATATTGTATTTAAATAAAGCATCATCAATGGAGGCGAGAAGTCGATAGATCTTCGATATATAACAATGTTGTGTATTCAGCGAAACTTTCTATGCTATAAAAGTTTTTCCTCGCGAATGTATAATGAAATTGACTTGCCCATTTTACGTACTCATTAGTTCGAGTAACGATGATAAATTACAATTACATTATCTTCGACGCAGTGTAACGCGCCACTGTATATAATGTTATTAGTCGTCGAATAAGTCGAAATGCGGTAGGCTATTGGCAACTATATGTGCAACTAGCGGGGGGGGGGGGGGGGGGGGGGATTGGCCATCGATCATTGACACGCACACATACCACGGCGAGCTGTTTCCGTAATTGATGGCTGCCGCTGCGGCAGCCGCCACGTTAACGCGCCCGTGATGAGTTTCGCCATCAGAAACTTCGACGCTCGTTTGCGCGCGCGATGAAATCGCAATGATTTACTCAATCCGCGCTCGGTTCGGATGATTTCGAGATGCTTTATTAACTCTACGTGCGACGTTTTTCTTCCTTTGCCATCGGCGAGTATATTGCGAATTTTCTCGTTATCGCGTCCGTTTGCTCATTACCCCCGCATGAAGCATTCCATCTGATTTTTCTTTTTCTTCGCGCTCTCTTCGAAAACTCGTTCGAGCCAGGCCTCCTTATGGTTAAAAGCGCTGACGGCGACTTTTCCTACGACCGGTTTTTGCGAGCGCGTCGATTCTCGCACTTTCAGACAGATCCGATAATACGTTAAAGCTTACAAACTCCGGGATGCACGCACTTGGTTAATTGATGATTACAGCTTAGCGGCAGTTCGGCCGGCAGGCTGGCTCAGATGATCGGCTTTTGTAAACTCGACGCGGTCGTTTTAATCAAATGCAAAGTTGGTCCGGTAGATTTAGCACGCTTACCTTGACGCCTCGCAGCTTGCAAATCAAATGCACGTCTGACCAAACTCACTCTATTCTACTGGAATGTTATCCGAATGTTATGTTATCTAACATAGATTCCGATCAACCATCAGTAAAGCCTAGTAAGCATAACTCTACGATAGCGACACACAAAGCCAAATTTCTTCTCGACGGGAAAACCAGTCTACGAGTACATCGCATTGTAAGAAAAAAACAAACGACGACTGCAACGTTTTCGCACGCGGACAAATCCGGTATAGAGGCTCTTTCTGGCACGCGCGCGCGAGGACGATCGACACGGCTGATAATACGGTTCTGCTGGCTGCTGCTGCACTTTCGCGCCCCTATAACGAGCGGTCCTTTTAATCCTCGCAACGCCGGCAGCGAATCGAGATCGCGCGCGTGTAAATGGCTATAATAGTCGGCAGAGATCTGCGTACAAATGCGCGGTTCGATCCAGCTGTTTAATATCTGTGAAGGACAGCTTTCACATCGGCCGTGTGCATCTTTTCTTTCACGTAAGAAATCTCACGATCGGCGGAGATTGATCGCGCGACTAATTGTCGCGGGCTCGCGGGCTCGCGGGCTGTACGTTACTCAATTTAATCCGCATGCACATATACACGCGATTGCAGTTGTGCAATCGACTTCGCGCGGCGCCAACGTCTGAATAACTCTATCAATTTTCCCCGTCGAATAATTAGCGCGACAAGAATATTATTGCACCTGCTTTTTTTCTCCGCTACCGCAACGATAAAAGCACCGAGAAACTAGATTGACACGCAACGCAACTTACAAGCTCCACGTAAAGTTGCGTGTATCTAAAAAGTTTAAAAAGTTTTGTTTTTGTTTTCGGTGTTTTTGGTCACTTGCATTACTGAGTTTTCAGCAAGTTTTATCATTCCATAATTTCACAAGAAAACATAGAAATTAATGTTAAATATCGTTATCTATGTATACATAAAATGATTCAGACTAATTCGCGGGTGCCGGTTACAGTCTAATCTCCGTATATATTCCGTTGATTCGCATGCGCAAGCGCCCGTCAGACGTTTATATACACACTCTAATACAACACCCACTACTGACTAGGCGCTTTGGCCAACCAACCACCGACGAATAATCCGATGAGGTGGGCTTTGCATGGTTAATACGCATGTCGCGCGATTGGTCCGACGAGTCGCTGTGTCGGCAAGATTTCATGCTCTAAACTAACTTCATAACACTTTCCCTAAAAATACTTTATCGGATTGTCGACTTGATCGTCAATTATGAGCGCGATGTCGTATAACTGACAATGTCGACGGTTTTACAACGTTTGCTTGCAGACTGAATCGATATGAATTATTTCGTACGATGCAAACCGTTGATGCCAATATAATTCAATTAGAGAAGTTTATCGGACTCGATCGGGCTGACAATTGCATTCAACATTTTCTACGTGTGTACATCCAGATAAAGTGATACAAAAACCGAATCCAGCCCGGCATACACGATCAATCTCGAATTCGGCTGGCAAAACTGTCTGACCAAACATTGTTTTGTTTCTCTGTTACAGATCGCTGATGACTCGCTCACTTCGAGAAAAAGCAAACAAAGCACGAGCTTCGGATTTGCGCGAGCCATGGTGCACACAATTTATCCAAAATCCGCGTGGCAAGGTAAACGCACCGACGCGTGCAACGCATACGCCACTCGTGCAAAGGCAAAAGAGGGGGATTCAACCAAGACTTGCAAACTGGATGTACGTCTTGGTATAAATCGTGGCGCCCGCTCGCGGATTAAGGTGCGCGTGCGGGTGGATTAGACGAAAGGTTACAACTTGTACCAGTGAAAGACTTATTCAAAAAACAAACAAAAAAAAAAACAAAAAAGCAAGAAAATCTTTCGTTCTCTTTTTTTTCTTTCCGTTTAGATTTTTTCGGCAAATATCTCAATAAACACACACAGGCGATATAACATACACCACTTTAGCGTACACCACTGTAATTCGGGCAACGTGCAAGACAGAAAGGCACCTCGTATATATTATAAAGATAGTTTTTATCGAAATATGACAGAACTGTTGTTACTATGAATTATTATTATTAATATTATTATTTTGATTATTATAATTTTATGACGATCAAGTCACGTGCGGTGTGACCGTTGCGCGACGGAAAGTTCTTTTTGTAAATATGTCACATAAAAGAAAAGTGAGCGAATAATGTCGTAGATAGACTAAAAATCGGCTGAAAAAACGAAGGAGCGTTATTTAAAAGTATATCACACACACACCCACACGCACACGAACATGCTGTACGATCGATCACGGATAATAAACTCTCGATGCGCGTCTTCCGTCAAACATCTTCCGGTTTATATTTGTGCAAGTCCTGTTCAATGCAATCTGTGTCTTTTCTTTTTCCAACGAACAAAATTGTAAATAAATACATATTTAATTTAAGCACTCAATTGCGTTGTAAAAAGTATTGTACATTTGTTTTAAATTAAAGGAGCAAAAAGTACAGAATAATTCGCAAGCCTTTGTGTGGATCACACAAACGCGCGCGCGCGCGCACATACACACAGACGAGCTCACGATTTCTCGTTAAACCGCGAGAGAAGTACATCGAGCGCTTGCACGAGTCAATCAAGCGACGATCGATAAATCACTTAATTTTCATCGCGTCCTGCCCGCCTCCTTTATCCTCTCCCACCTGCAGCCTAATCTCGTCGTCCCTTGCAGCAGCGGATCGATTCGGGTGCCGTGCAACTGCGCGCTGCAGTGTTAGCTGCTGCTATAATTAAGTTGATTGCAATCTGCTGACTTTCAAGTGGCAATCGTTGTTGTCGAAATCCAAGTGGATGGCAATTTTTATGCTTCTTCTTTTGTTGGATTCCTCACGAAGGAAAAGCTGGTAAAAATAAAGTTCACTTGGTATTGTGCTGACAGTAATATTACAGAAAAAATACAAGCTGTTTAAGCCCACATGTAGGTACTATAATCTCATTGATATGTATATTGTGCAGTCGTAACACAATATTCTTACAGTAGAACATGTAAACGCAAGATGAGCATAACCGTCGCACATAGTGAAATAAATATGAATATACAGTTATAAGTGAAGTAAAACAAAAGGAAACCACATAGAGTACGTTTATAGTTATAATAGCGTCGATTTAATATAAAAAAAATGGTGCAATAACTCATTAACTCTACGATTTTGTTACTTGGAAGTCAGCTAGTCGATTATAAAGGAAAATATGGAAATTTCTCTTGGACCAAATTTGAACTATAACTTTTTTATCGAGTTCGGAGGTTTTGCATCTCATGTAAACATATCACTGATAACATAGACAAATGTCAAATTTGGTCTCTTTTCCAGGAAAAGTGCGAAAAGTTGATTTTAGAATACACGACAAAAATATATATCTTGTAAATATTAAATATTTCAGGCTGTCTCGATGTAAATTAAAATCGAAAGAAAAAACTTGATCGCTTCATTCTGCGCTGGGTATTCTAGAATCAACATTAGTCAACTTGATTAAAAAGAATGGGAATAGAAAATAAAAAAGATTGTACATTTATTGTAAAAATACATTTATTTATGTCTGTGATAAAAAAGTAAGAAAAAAATTATTAAGGGCAAATTCACTCGAAACAGAATATAATGAAGTGACTGAGAAGTAATGAGCAAATGACACTAACTTGAAATGTGGGAGACGCGCAATGATAAAGTTCATGATGTTACATTAAAATCACATACATTTATCTTATAGATAACTAATTAAACAAATGTTTCTTTGTAAATAGACGAACAAAACTATGCATATGACGTGCACGAATGAGTGTATAGTCGTTACTCGAGACATACATATTTGTTGTGAATAACAATAGCGCAAACATAAAAACTTTAGCTACTTCGTAATAGTTATATTGCGAAAGAAAAAAACTCAGTTTTTAAGCGGTCGTTCGTACGGTTTCAATCTTGTAAATTACCATGGAAGAAAGCAAAATGGAGTGTGTACATAGCCATGAATGTGAATATAGATGTATACAAAAAATATCTATTATTACGAATACCGACATTATCACATATTATATTATTATATTATTGTCTACTTCAATTATAAATTCATATTATATTAAAAGAAGACTATTACGTTGTAAATTATTTTGTATCTTATTTACCTTTCCGCCTCTCAAGTCATATGATACTTTCCACGATATTTCAGTGAAAAATAAATTTCTGCATTTATCAAACTTATTTAGAATGAAATTTTCTAGCGAGTCGATCGAACCTTTAAAAATATGGTATAACATAGTTATGAAGCCCAGAGCGCACACTTGATTTGCAACCGAGACAAAAGGGGCAAAGAACCGGCTAAAATAACATTGAACTTTGTAAAACTCAAACACTTGGGTATTATTCAATGTATGCATTTGAAGAAAGGAGAAGTAAATGGACAATTGACAATCACAGCGAACAGTGCGACAAGCTAGCAAGAGAAGGTATTTCCATTACTAAAAAAGGCCCAAATAGCCACACTGTTGCGGCACAACATGACGCTCGAATCGGAAGTCGTAGCACGTATGCGGTATAAACATCGAAAACACATCGAAAGGCCAATGCGCGGACAGCCTACAAAGGACTCGCTCGTTTTGAATATCGAACAATGGCAGGGCGCGAAATGAGCGCTGACCCGCGCGCGTACTATGTGCCAGCGCAAGAGCAAAAGGAGGAACAATGCTTCTCCCCCTTTCTCTGGTGCTCTGTGTAAGAGAGCGAATTTCAATTCCACGAGTCCTCGTTATCGCGCCACGCGGTTCGCTTTCACCCGCGCGCCGGTGCGTGGCTGCGGCTATGATGATCGTTTTTACGTTACGACCCTCTGTCTATTTTTAGACTTTCCTCTTTTCATTCGCGCGGTGCTCTGCGAACGGACGAGTGCTCTCAACAGCTACGGCTATTTGCTGCGATGATTTGGGGACTATTATCCACGCTTTTCACACAGTTCTGCTCAGTTGTAATTAACCGAAACATTCATTCGACGCAATTACCCTAACGAATAATTTTAAATGCGAACAACAACGTATCATCAATTTACCAGAAATCAGCTAAACAATCAAAGTACAATTAACCATCACTTTTGTCAAGTGAGCGCCATACAAAGCTCAGAGTATCGCATACAAACAGTCGGCATTATACGACACGGAACTATCTCGGGTCTCATAAAAGCTGGGCAGAGGAAGTGTCCTCCCAAGGCAGCCGCGCAGAGCCTTAAAATCAATTGCGGCGGCTTTATGGATTAGTATTATTTTCTTCGGCGCACTTTCACAGACACACGCACACAAAAAATAAGCGGTGCCATAAACAATTTCATGGATTTCCGATTGCTTATTATGGCTTCACGCGGGTATACATAGTTTTAAAAAATATAATGTGTTTTTTTTTCTTTCTTTTTTTAAGAGACGAAGTTCGAGATCATCAATGATGGTATCAAATGTATTTTTGAGTTTATGAGGTCTTTTTTCTGACGGGATCTTCAACATATAAATGAAAAGAAATTCAATATGCGAATAACATCGTTAAACATTTCTTTTTCTTCGGTAGATTTATTTTGATGCTCGTGAATATATTTTGGAACTTTTATTATGATCACTAATTTTTTATACGTAACTAAGTAAACTTAAAGCAACATATCACTTTATAAATAAATAAAACTATATAAATCATTTCTTCTAACAATACAAAGATATAAATAAAGTAATTAGTTCTAAACAAATAGGCACGATTGAAATGTGTTCACGTGCGACCAAGGTTTCAACAACATTCCACGCAACATTCAAACTGACATCGTAAAATTGAATAAAGACTGCTAAATCTTCAGGGTAGATATAGTAGACTTTGTGACGAGTGCAAGGTTTACTCTGAAAATCCGAGTCGAAGAGGAGCATCAGACACGTACTATTTCATACGATTTATCTCGTTTTCTTTATAATCACGTCCTACAGTTTTTGCACTTAAAATTATTACTCTGTCGCTGTGCAACGAAAATAATTGTGATTGGAAAAGCCACCTACAGGAAAAATCGAGCAACGCAAAAAAGCGCCAATAAACAAGCCAGTTAAACCAAAGTACAATCTGATTTCACAGCTGTTCTCAGTCTCTCAACAGGCAAGTAGCAAGTCTCGTGCATCACATACACTCACACTCGACAGGGCGACAATAAATTCGACTAGAGAATCTCTCGCCATACGGGCTCAAAGTTACAGCGCGCGAGGACGACGGAAGAGAGGAGTACAGTGTGCCGTCGGCGAGAACGTGCGGCGGCGGTGGCAGCGACTGCCATATCCTGCCTATAAACTCGCGACACGAAACCTTCCGTTCTTCCTTGTAACTTTGACGCGCGGGAATAGCGTGTACCATTCGTTGCTGCTTTTTTTTTTTCTTCGCTTTTATCAACGAATTACGACTCGGCGTTGGATAGGCAAGAAATTGCTGTTTGGACTTGCAAATTTGCAATCGGCAAGTCGCTTTCAAATGAAATCCCGAGGAGTATAATTTTTATAAACTTGAATTTCATAATTTTTCTTTGTATTCATTAAAATGCAGAAAGTCCTTTCTATTTACAAAGGGTTTTCTACGCCTCTGTCGAGTCGCGCATGAAATTACCGCGGCCTCAATCATGGCTCTGGTCCACAACTATAAAATCGAAAAAACGAATAGGCAGCGCATATCCGTTAATTCATAAATTTTTGTGCCAAAGAAAAGAAATCTTATCCTCGCGTGCTCGTCAAAATGTTTACGCTAAGACGGCGAATTCTGTTAGCACGCGCTAGAATATTCAAATGATCCGGGCGCGTTTGGTGTGCTCACGCATACGCGCTTTTAATTTATGCAATCGACGCCGTAGCGTTCATGCGCGCGCGTATATAAGAATTTAATATCGCGCTGCGAGATCGCAATCTGCTCGATATTTCGGTCGCGAGAGAGCTCGATTCATAAATTTTTTTAGCCAAAGAGAAGGAGCGCGCTAATGCCCGCAGAGCTGACTCCCCATATTTCTCCGGCTTGTGATATAGGAGCGGTGTTGCGAGCGCACGTACGATATCCTTGTTCGAATGCTCTTGTTTTATTCGCCTTTCGTTTTATTCTCTGCCGATATTGTGCTCGATTGAATGACCAACATCTTAGTTGGAAATTAACCAATGGTTCTTGTGAAGTAATGATGGCGCTGCTATCTTATCTTTACTCGGACATGGTGTATTCACAGCAATAATATAATAGAAGCTATCATCAATAAAATCATGTCATTAAATAAATATCGCCGATAATTGCACTACTGTACAATTTCTAAACTAGATGGAAGCACAATATTCTATAGTGAACAATGACAACTAATTAATGGAGGATATCTTAGTACGTTGCTGTGGATTTGCGGTGAGTTTGGAGATAATGTACGAGTAATTAATGCGATCCAAATTTTTAGAAGAAATAACCAGAGTTAACCAGAAAGAAAACAAGTCTAAGACCGTCCGCGCTCGGATCACTCGCGATTTCAATGCTTGCCGAGTGTAGCACAAACGATATCCCATCGACTAGGACCTCTAGGCATTCGCGAAAGACCTTTAGCTCTTTGTGGATTCATAGCCGCGGTGTGTACTCGTGCGAATTTTGCATTATACCGATCTAGCGGGACGACGCAGAAGACAAGCGTATGAGCGAACCACCGCGGAGATGCTGCTGGTGGACCGATTGAAAATGCGGCCAATAGCGACAGTTTCCGAAATAACTAAACGACTGGCTTCAGCTCGCAAGACTGCTTTGCAAAGACAAATCCGCGTTACGTATTCGAAGAGTTTTTGCCAGTGCTGCGAGTTTTCAGAAGGTATAAGCAAAACATAGCCATCGAGACGATCTAACTTGATAGCTCCAGGAAGTTGGTGTAGGGAATGTGAAAAGACGTGCGCTTTGACGTACGATCGACTTGTCTGCGCCGTGACCACAACGGCATGAAATCTGGTTGAGATAAAGCAGCGGCTATCAAAAGAACCGCTAATGCGACTTACCGCGCTCGAGTCAACGTGCTTCAAAAAACTACTTGCTCATATTGATCGTGTAAGCTCATCCGCACGCTGAATCGCGTTACTCTCTATTCCCGTGGAAATGTCGAGATCCGGATTAATTTAGCGAGGCATCATCCATTGAAATCTGCTCGCGCGCGATGATGGAAACAAAAACAGGATGGCATATCGTCGAGCCTGGCGTTATTAATAATCGAAGGTTCGAAGAAAAAAAGAGAAGTCGATATGATTGAAATGGCAATAACAATATTAACGACTCTACTGATAACCGCGAGCGCTAACGGAGTAAAGGCATTACCATAAATTTGAATGTCCGCGAGTCTCTTTCGAGTGCTCGCTCTCACGCAGCGCGAGCGACCCTTTATAGCTTATTTTATGGCGAAGACTCAATTTGGCGACGAGCACTGGCTGCTGCTGCTGCTGCTGCTGTGTCGTTGCTGCTGTATGGAGGGTGACTAATACGCGCGAGACACACCTTGGCGCGCCACGCGAGTTTATATCCGTGATGAATCGTCATCTACACACATACGAAAGAGATAGATATCATTCCTTCGACGGAGGTGGATACGGATGAGCAAGAAGAATGTATCCATTGAGCATATCCTCTTCTTTGCGCCATGGGATATCCGGTAGGCAACGAGTTACAATCCTACGTATGTAGCTGCTGTTGCCTCTCGATGTGTCTTCCTGTTGAGTTTACGTGAGTTCTTTCTACGCGCTGGTTGATGACTACTGTAAAATGGTACCCATCAACGACCATTCAATTGAGACTTTTTGATAGATAGCGAATTAGATTACTTCTTGTACAAAGGTAACCATATCTTAACTTGTATCAAATTAGCAAAACAGAATAACAGTGTAATGATGGTTGCGTAACGAGTTTTAATATATTCAAGAAGAGTAATGCGACTTTAATGGGAGTATACACGCACTCAACGGAGATCTAAGCTGGCCGCGTATCAATTATACGCAGAGATGCGGAAGAATGCAAATGGCCGCCCGAACGTTCACAGTCGGGTTAATACTTTAGCCGCGTGCTCAGTCAAATGACGTAAGTAGGCTATTGTTC